GCATGTGAAATAATTGCAGTTTTACCTTTCCGAAGGAAGCAGGTGGACTGGCCAATTGCAATCTTTCATTCATCTATCAACAAATGGCATGGGAAATTTATGGCTTCAGATAAAAACGCTCAGATAATAGGCCTGAGCCATATGTAGATTTTTGTTTATCATATAATAAATATAAATTTGAGGCGGAAATCTATCCATGTCTAGAGGAAACTTCATTGTTTTAAACAGGGGAAAACCTAAAGAAAAAAAAACTTCCTGACATAGCCATCACAGCAATAAATAACACTGAGCCAGCGTGCCATTGAGACACCTAACTTTTTGTATTTTTTGCCTCGCTTTTTATTTTACCCATAACCCATAATCTGAAAGCATAAATTTTTACCCTGCGGTCACACACACACTTTCATCCACCCTGGGGCCACGGTTTTCCCCCACAAGCCCGTTATTTTCGTGAGCCCTTTATTAGGTGCTTTCGCAGGTAAATGCTCTACAAAACGACTATGAACCATATTTGGAGGGTGATATTATTTTAGCCAGTGGCAAATAAAGCTTTTAATGAAAAAATAAATTTGTTTTTGAAGTAATTGATAATCAAAGTATATCCTTTTGGCAAAATGGTTCTAATCTTGAATGGCCAATAGCAGCCCAAGTCCAAACCTACTCAAATCCGGAAACATTTTATTGGGGAAATGAGATGTTTTTTTTAGACCAGAAAATTTGCAATCCGTTTTGGGATACTCTTATTTGCATTTAAAATGCCTTCTTTCGAACCACCCAGGCTAGCCAGGATACTTTTATGGAATGAAAAAATTTAAATGGAACGGAACTGTAGCAGTTAGTTAGTAGCTACAAAAAGCATGTAAACTAACTGATTTTACCAAATCGTGACACGGACTTCGTAAGTAGTCTCCTAAAAATCTTGCCTTTTCTCTTTCTTAATTCTTCCAGATTTCGTTAGATCTTCACAGTCTTTTTCTATGTAACAGATCACAGATATTCAGAATCTTTCTGTCTTCAATCTCCTTATTTCCTATGAGCGCTTCTGTATCTGTAGGTATTTCTGTTTTTGATCTTGAATCCTCAAAGTCGGTCCCCACGCTGTAACGTGCAAAATTAATTATCAAGATTTATTCTCGCTGTTTCTTCTTGACAAATCGTCCCACTTAATTTATTTCTTCCTAGTGCTGTCCCTAGGCCCGAAGTTCTGTAGGTTCCTTCCAAATTCTGTAGAAGAAATTTAGATGATTCTGGCTTGAATCTTTAATTTTTTCACAAGTCTTTGGCTTGGCTGACAGAGATGAAGGCTTTCTGGTTTCTATTGTTTTTGAACTAAAGGGTATAACAGTTTATGGAAGGTGAACCAATACAAATATAAACGGTTTTTGTGTATCCCACAAGTGATTCGTATAGCTCTAGAAACTATGGACCGTAATGCGTATATTTTTCACTTTTTCAAAAAAGAGAAGCATTGACCTCGGCCTACCTACACGACTATAGGTTGCTCAGAAGGATCCTTGTAGGCCAACTTCGCACATTTCTTGTCCAATTTTTTACTGGGACCTTTGAGTTTGTGATTGTTATTAAGGTACGTTCTATTTGAAGCGACTATTGCGATGATCGTAGAGCGATAATCGTGAAGCCCTGCTTGTATGTTTCGTAAATTGTTCCTTTTTCCTTGGAGCGACCATCGCTAGCGTCAATCGCGTGCGTCTGGTCCTAGAGCAGATATAATCGCCAATCGCGAACGATTATTGATAGGTGATTCTTTTTGTTACATTCATTGCGCACGCATATTGGTCTGGGTGTAGTGGTCTGTTTGCCAAAACATCAACACACAAGTTTTTCTAGTGTCTTAAGCTCATATGATGTAAATCTTATGGGTCTTAGGGACTTCGCCGTGTCCTGTCCTATTTTTCCAGGTTTTGGTATGAACGATACCCTAATGTGCTTTCAGACCTTTAGGCTTATTCTTAGAATGTTACATAGTATCCTGTTTGCAAGTTCAGTTCCGTTTTGTAACATTATGAGATAGATCCTTTCTGTCCCTGTTGACTTATATGGGTCAAAGGTGTTTATAGCCCATTTGACATTAACTTTTTCATAGTTGACTAGTTTCTTCGAGGTCAGCTAGTCGTTTCTGGATGCTCTTCGATGTCTAGGCTCGTTCCATGTCCACTGAGTCTGATCAACTATCTTTGAGCCGGGAAAGTGGGTTGTTAGGAGTTCCCTAGCCGTTTCTTCCCCGTCTTTGTATGTATTCACCAAGGTTGTTCTTGAGTGATTTGATTGTTGTCTGTCGGGCCTCTTGACAGAGTTCTTTGTAGTCTAGGACAATCTTGAGTACAGATCATCCCAGTACTCCCTCCAAGGATCCCCTCATCTCTTTCTTGAACTTTTTCAACGTGGTTCTGTATGTCTCCCACAGCCCGGTTCTCATGGCTTTATTGATTTCAGTTCTAGTTTTTTTCCTTAACTTTGCAAGGCTCTTGTTCCACCAGGGCACTTTCCTGGTGGATATCCCTGTTGTAATGGGGCAATTTTCATTGAAGGCTGAGATGATTGCATCATTGAATTGATCCACAACCATCTCCAAGTCTTCAGTGTCTCTTATTGTCTTCCTGATGTTCGACAGACAGTACTCCAGGTCAGCTTTATATGCGTCCCAGTGTGATTTCTAGGATTTCGATAATTTACTGAAGTTGTTTCCCCTGAAATTTCATATTTGATGTATCTACTTATCCTTTTTGTTGCATTCATTGCGACACCTAATATATCTACAAAAAGCGTTGAGAGCCTACTAACAAACATTTTAGCAAAAGAATATTTTTTAGAAGAGAGTTGACAGAATAGTGAATATAGTCGCTGTCAAGCAAAACGCTCCAGCTAGCGAGCAACATATCCAGTTCAACTGTGTAAGTCAGGGTTGCACGAACTTTTGGAAGTGGGCCGGGAAATTTCAGTCCAGCGGCCCATACATTGATCGATTCATATGGCACATCATCACCCCTATAGATTCGATCTAATAATATTTAATATTTAAGTTCATTATCACCAACGCATCTAAATTTTCCATTGTAAGTCGATTCCTTAATCGATTTTTTATGTATTTGAGTGTTGAGAACTGAAAAGCATTTTTTGCACTTTATTTGTGTATGCACGCAAAAGTGAGGATACTGGTATATAGGCCCTAAAGATAACTGTAAGCACGGATGTAAAGTCTGTATATACTTAGAAAACCAAACATTGTTTGCAGCGTCAATGTGGAGGAATTTTTTTTTAGTTCTAATAAATTCCCTGTGTCATCTTCATCTTCATCGTTCAATTCGGGGAGGTCATACAGCTTTGTCCTTTCCAAGTCACCTACCTCATTTTATTCAAAGCATCGTCTGCCATTAGATTGAAAAAATTATTGGAGGAGTATCATCTCTGTACTGTTTGTTGGCGAATTGCACCATCCAAAAACGTTCTGTCAGGTTTGTGATTTCTGTGAGAACAGAAGAACTCATTGATCAAGGATGATACACACCTACAAGGATTGCGTATCGGCCTCGTTTTTGGTAATCGCCGCCAAACTGGTGTGTTACCATTTCCGATTCCGACGTCATAACCAAGTCGTCAGCTGTTTAAACAGCCTACGTCAAGGCGAGAAATAACATGTTGCCTACGTCACAACTGGTAATTTGGCATGGGAGAAAGGGGGATTTGTTACACACAGGCCTTATGAGGATAGGCCATCCTGTAGTAGCAGTGTGTATCATCCTTGCTTATTAAGGCCGTCCGTTTGAAGGTATATCTTGGATAAAGGTTCTGTTGTTCACACTCCGATCGGCTCACCGAGGATTTTCCGGTATCCTGGTGGGTTCATCCAACCCTGGTGTAGGTACTGCGTGTAATAGTCACCAAGTATTTCACAGATTTTACTCAGATAATCCCTTAGCCCTTTCTTCTGCTCAATTGTCAGAGGCCAAGACTTTGGACTCGAGTGAATAGCAAGGTCTCTGAGCAAGAAAAGATATAGTTTCCATGCTGACTGGGCGAACTCTGGAGCTAATCTGAAAAAGGTCCTGCAAAAGGTGGACTATAATCGATGGAGCTAATCTTAAAAAGGTCCTGCAAAAGGCGGACTATAATCGAGGGAGCTCCGTTCCCTGCTGGCTTTTTTGCAATAAGTGAAACATGGACTCCTCATTATGGGTTCTTATACATTGTAACTTTCACTCTTACTAGGACCTTATGCTTCTGAACTGAGCTTACTCGGTGGTTAAGATTCTTGCTAAGAATGTTGAAAGGCTGCTCTATCCAATGTGCACAGACTTCTTGATTTTTAATGACTACTTTACAGTCCGCTCGTCGATTGTTGATACTCGAGTGGGTTTCAGAAGATTTTGGAATCATCGGTAAAGAGTTTCCTACTTATACTTTGATATCAGGGGACAGGTCAGAAATGTAAACAAGGAAAAGTAATGGGCCTTCATTTCCAGTCAGAACTTGGCATTCACTCTCACCCATTCGCTTTACTCTGGAATATTCGCTTGTGGGAGGATCCTATCCAAATTAGTTACTGGCCTAGAACTCCAGAGCTCTCCGCCTCTTGGGGAGAAGTTTCCTGAAGGACACCTTATTTTGAAGGCAGTTGCACGTGCAAAGTCGACGTATACAATAACTATTGGGGCATTGTTTCCATTCATGGTGTTAAGGGAGAAGAAACTCGTAGGACTTTATTTGTCCAGAACATTGATACTTCAATAACCAATGAGGAATGGTTTAGACATTTTTCTTCTGCTGGTGAAGTCAAATATCTTAGGACTTGCAGCCGCATTTCAGATGATTCTAAGCATTTGCTAATTGAATTCACCGATCAATCTAGCATTATTGATGCTTTTAAAATGAGTGAAACTGAATTCAAAAGAATCCCATTGTTGTTGCAACATGCTACCCAGACCATCAATAAACCACAAGCAAAAAGCAATTAAGCAGCTCCAAGAGAAATTGAAGAAGCAATGTCCAGATTCAAAGAAGTTCAAAATATGATTAATGCAACCATCGAACCTGTAATTAGAAGCTTAACTAAGGACAAGAAGGATTCCAGAAGATCAAGGTCCAGGTCCAGATCGCCAATGGCGATCCTGTCTTCTTTCGTATCGGTGTTGGGTTTCAGAATAAATGTTCAAAAACCCTTATATCCCACTTATCTTTCTTCTGATACCAACTTTTACAACTTACTTACCTAAGATTTTTAGCATTGTTTCTAAGTGGCATTGCCATCAAAAATTCAAAGAGCGCATAGCAAAAATCTCTCAAATTTCAACCCCTCCCCATCAGATCCAGATACATATATTTTTAACAAAGCGTCAAATTGGACGAAAATATAGGCGCGAAACTCCGGCAATGTCCTTTATCTATTTTTCAAAGAGCATTATGTATGAAGTGCGGAACTTCACGCTTGAACTAGCGCCCCAAGGTAATGTCGAGGATAATGCATTCGGATATCGGAACACTCAATATTCCGCGGTGCGTTCCTTCCATTTAGAGGAAGATTTACCCTTCCTTGAACCCCTTGGTGTTTCATACAATTTATCCACATACAAATATTTAAGCTTGCGACAATATTTAATGAACTCTTAATAAAAACTAAGACAAGATTCTTATACTTTTTAAAGCCAAATGAGAGTCGGATTTATTTTCTCCCCTGGAGAATTTTAATTAGGACAAAAAGTCTTTTTGCCCCACGGCTGGCTTTATTTTATTTGCTCTGTTTTACTTTGTTTATTACTTTAGGATGATGAGACACGTCTGCCTCCCTCCTATCGTATTTTCTTTGGGAAATAAGGAAACGAAAATGCAAATCAGTTGATGTTTTCGTTTTCAAAAGAGTGTGAAATATTTCTTGATAATTTTAAAAGTGTTTTTCTTTTTATAACATCCAAACATCCAATCTCAAAAAATACAATTTAGACAAAGGAACACATAAGTTGAACATTTAGAAATCACGATATGAATATAAAACAGGAATGGCTTGTTCAATCCTAGAGGGTGGAAATAAGAGAATCGATTCCTTTTGTCCGATTCCGCGCCATCAATCCACCGATATTGCATATAAGGTTTCCGATATTTTGGCTTTTCTATATAAAGCCCTACAAGCTCCAGTCACGTGTCTTTGTCAGGTTGTTTATTAAGAACCATATGGCGGCGTAATTCTATACTGTTTGCTTTGGTTTTCGCCGGAAAAATACGTCTGATGTAAAAAAAAAGTTCGGCTATAATTTTAACAGTTAGTTACCCTTATAGCAAAAGTTCCCTGGAAATCCGCCCGTAGCATTTCCACTATACAATTTTCGAGCCTAACTAACCAACAAACTAACAGAGTAGTATATTAATGTGGCGTTAAACTACCCTTCGGACACCCGATATCCGCCTGGCTGGAGAGAGACCAGACTATCGGATTCAAAAGGCAAAAAAAAGGGAGACAGAAAATAAGCTGAGGGAAATACCCCGCATGGAGTTTGGTTCTGCGAAGTGCTAACAATGATGGTGGTTGAAGGTTGTGAGGGAAGGAAGAGAGGTTTTTGTTTGTAATATGTAATTTGTTTTTTACAGTGTTGTCAGATAAATATACAGATACATAATATGATCGAATTCTTGTCTCATTTTCGCCTACACTAGCATTTTATAGTCGCAGTAATCTTCGATTTACGACGATAATCTTGAAATTCCAACTATTAAAAAGTCTCATATTTCATCGAATAGGTACCGAATACTTCGGACGGTTGGTTAACAGGACGTCGCATAAAATCTGGTAATATCTCAACAATTAATCTAAAATAACACACACGCGGACTTGCTAACCGGTAGATAAATCTAGAAGATTAACCCCAGATTTAAACTTTCTTGTTTGCTGAATGTAATCGACAAAAACCCATTTCATATAAAACGGATGCCGTGACCCGGGGCAATGAAATAAAATGCACTGAATTAATATATACCCGGATCAGAATTTTGCCTTGTTGCCAAGTTTCAGTTAGCGAAGGGGTTCGATTTTGATATATATAAAAATTAGGTACTATTCTGCTCCCTACAGAACAAAATTTATTGAAATATTCATGATTATAGGGACTAGAAGCAACATCATAATGACCCTAATGTGTCGCGTTTACCCTAAAGCCAAGTTCACGACAGGTAAAAACATTGGGTGTAGCAAGAGGTAAAGCATACACTTCCGTTTAGGAAAAATTATGAATGTCATTTCCTCAAATTGGGGGGATAAGAGCTGAAACTTGAAACGATGATGAAGGTTTATTTTTTAGGTGTTTGTTTAGGGGAGCACATTGCTGTAAAAGTAAATGTTGCTGAATTGTTGGTTCTTCTATCCCCCAACCCATACTTTAATACTCATGGGATATTACATTCTACCCTATGGCTTAAATACCAAAAAAAAAAAATCCGGGCATTTCGAATGCACGTCATTATAAAAACAAGGACTACTAGGAGAAAGATAAGCTCGAATAAATTTCAGGTTTTTATCTCTTTTTATTCTTTCTTCTTTTAGCGGACCAATGAGTTGTGGCGATAGAGAGTTTTCGGAAATCCCGATAGAGAATCCTAAGGAATGAAATGTGACTATATGCCCTACTGTACAAATTTTACGGATATGTTCTCGCTCAAACTCCCCCCACCGATGAACGCCACTATAAGATAGCTCTGAGGAACTTAACATGTGCCTTACAAATGAACTAACTCAAAATATGGCGAGACACGAGAACAAGGGTGGAAAATGGTGCAAAACTACGCCTCAACTTGTTGGTTGAAGATATTGCTGGAAATTGACCTTATAATGTCATTTTGCTTAAATAGCCAACCCCTCTCTGGAATAAAAAAAAAGTTCTTTTGCGACTTATAACAAACGTCAGGATATTAAAATGTGACTCAAGAAAAAAACGAAGCATTACACGTCAATTACCTCTGATTCAATTAAGTAACCTCTCATCAAACTAAATAATGATGTCCATATCTTAAAAGTCTCATAAACGTATGCAAATTCCTGGTGGCCTTTCATAACACGGTGCGTGCATGCAAAGACTCGCCATCACCAAGACGTGTATAATAATAATGAAACGAACGGAATAAGGCCCTAGGGGCCGCAACGGAGCCCCGATACAGAGAGAACCTCGTGTCCGGACTCTCGGACTCGGGAAATTATCCTCGGAATTATCACGACGTGATTGGACTGCTACACAGGTGACCGAACGGCCACTCCCTTGCGTTTACTTGGATTATTTATTATTTGTTAAATGGGTTAAAACGGACCGAGTATTGAAACCGTTAATTAAGGAAAGTTCCGTTGTCACGATAAATGCGGGTTGGAAAAGTAACTAATCGCACAGTATATTTGTCGCGTGTCCCAAAAAGCAGGTAACAAAAAATTCCGAGGAGTTTAATCCCTCTATACAGACAAAAGTATTGTGATAAAACGATTCAAAATCGATACAATGATTTGCTGGCCCCATTTCCATAAGAAAGAACAAACATCGAGAGGCACCGAGAGTGTGTGCTGTGTGTACAATAAATAGCGAGGACAAATGAAATTCGGATATAGGAAGGGAAATGGGAAAATTTTTACACTAGATTAAATTGTGGGAATTTAGAAGTCAATTCCCCTAAAATTATACTTAACACTTTATTGAAACATCCAAAACTTCCTCCCCCATCAGCAAGGATATTAAACGCAGTCTTAGAAGCAGGGGTCTATTAGCTATCTTTAACCACAAACAAACACTCTGTAAATTATCTTTTCCATATAGTCTAAACTTTGGGTTAGAACGCATTAACGGGGACCGGATGGTGAAATCCCATGATACCGGACATAACCCCTAGAACAAGACAGAAAGGCAAATATGGTTTTGGAAAGATACATAAAGCAAGAGTGGAAAATGTTTGGGGAACTGTTTGTTAACGTAATTTATTTACAATTCTAGTCTAAAACATAAAGAGTACTCAACATTTGTTCTCTTACATGTATACCGGCCTTGATAAAGCTGCTCACATGTTCTTCAAGATTGGAATAGTTTCAGTGGTATCTACGCTGCATAACAGTTCTTTTTATCCCTGCCCGTTAACTAGATTGGCGTCTTTATTGAAACCAAAATACTCCAGTTATATTAGGCCGGAAAAAGCAGCATCTGCTGAAAAAATCCGAGTGGGCCTAAATTAAGTGTAAGTGTATGTACCGTTATTTTTCATGCTATTATGGCTACGATACGTGCACGATCCTTCACATCTAACTTTTTTTAGATATTTTGTCAACTCTTGGATTCAGCGCGTCGTATAGAGAAATATTAATGTATGAAGTTGCTGCTGTCTACCATGCTCAACCAGATATTCTATCATTTGCAACTGGTGCTCTTATTCAGTATTCAGCAGACAATGCAGATATCAATGTCTACACAACAGATGGCCACAACATGCTTCACTTTATGTGGCTTATTAAAATAGTAACACTAAGCAACGCCATTGCTTCTGAAGAATCTATGAAGAAATATACCACGATATAACGGTCAGCCCATCGGTCCATACCAAAATAAACGGCCTCTCGGTGAAACGGGGGACGGATGATGACGTAATCTTTACGATCAGTTGCTGATGCGCAAAATGGTCCCTGCTCGGGCGCCAAATTTGTAACGGGTTTTCCAAGGTTTTTCCTTGAGCTGTGGCAGCTTAAGAACAGTCAGTATTTATCTTTTGGTTAATCCAGCGGTAATCTCGGGCGCCAACCTCAAGATTATAGTGGTTGAGGGCCCACTAGCACCAGGTAGCTTGTTACAGTGGAAAAAGAAACACCAGGGACTAATGCGCAGATAAAGGAATAAAACAACTATCGAAGAAATAAGCCCTAGGTTCAGCACCAGTCCCCGAAAGCTTCTAACGACAAATTCAGAATCGCGTGTCTCAGCGGGGTAGAAAGTATAACTGATCTATGTCCGTACGATCAACCAGGACATAAGGATTGCGGTTATCCTGCTGGACTTATCTGTACAGCCGAGACTTGTCCTGATCAGTCTACCCACTACACAACTCTTTTCGGTACGGGGCGCGGTATTTCAA